TATTACTTGAGCTCTTGCGTGCATGCTTAGATGAAGATTTAGATGATTCACTAAGTCACTCGATAGCAAGCATATATAGGAAGAGTAAATAATCACAATCATGATATCAACCAAAAGGCCAAGCAATGTGAGTTTAAATTTAATGACCAAGCCTGTTATTGAACTAGAAGTAAATAGTCATAGGAAAAAATACAACTATGTTAGAACTTCTAGCTCGAAAAAGAAGTCTAGAAATACATCAAAGTACAAAACCATATGTGTTAAGGACTATCAAACATAAAATCAAGTGCTTTACGTGTCACAAATATGGGCATTACAAGAATGAGTACCTAGTCAAGAACATCACAACAATACACCAATGAAAACGCTTGATAACAGAACAAAGAGAAAATTATGAAAATTGAAACAAAAATGGTTTCCCAAAAACAAACCTACTACTACATGTGCAGGACAAAACAAACAACAAGAGTGGGTATTTGGATAATGCCTCCTCCATTCGTATGACGGGAGACGAGAGCAAATTCCAAGGCATTATCACTAAGCTAGGAGGAAATGTCACATTTGTAGACAACAACAAAGGCTCATCACATGTATTGGCTCAATATCAGATCCTCAAATAACATTACATTTTCTGGTTTGTTTTAAGAAGATGGACTGAGATACAATTTACTATATATTAGTCAGTTTTGCGAAAAAGACAACAAAGTAATCCTCGAAAACAATACATGCAAAATTGAAAGAATAACATATGGTAAAATACTTACTCATTGGAATAAATATATGTATGATAATTATTATTGATTTATCAGACAATAATGTTGTACAGAAGAAATTTCTAGTAGCTTCTAGGAATATAGCATAAATTCCCAGCGCCTAGAACACCCCAACAGAATGGGGTTGTTGAAAGGAGAAACAGAACCCTAAAAAAATGGGTTAAAGACACATTTGGTCACTGAGATTACAAAATTGGGACATGTTTAGTCACTAGAAAAAATTAATATCAAATTTGGTCACTACAATTACTAAAACTGGACACATTTAGTCACTCGCCGTTAGTCTCCGTCCAACTCCGTTAATGAAGTCCGTTAAGTGATGATGTGGCAAACAGAAATGCCTAATCAGCCGGATATAACCCAACAAAAATAAAACCCGACCCGCCACGTCATTATAACCCGCCACGTCATTAAAACCAACCCAACCCAACCCAATCCATGACCCAACTCCACCCAACCCTTCTTCCTCCTTCCTCTCACCTCCTTCTTTCCCAATATAACCTGATAAACCAACAAAGCATGTACAGCCATTTTCCACCATGTAAGGTAAAAGTCGAATCCTCGCAAGAGTTCCCTTCCCTGTTAGCAGCCTCTAATAAGAATATTCTAACCTTTCATGATAACTGGGCCTCTCAACCAAAGCTCCGCTCTCTGGCCAGGACCCAGAGCCTCCCCTGTTTCCGGATCCACAACCTTGGCCTCCAGATTCTCCGAGATCCGACCCGCCGACCCGTAGTTCTTCATTTCCTCCGCATCCATCATTCTCGTTCCCCCTCCCCCGCTCTCCGTCAACCCATATCCCTGTCTCCCACAAAATTTCAATCACACCAACCAGAAAATTTCAACAAAGCTTCTTCAATTCAATTAGACTGTATATATATATATATACCTGGATGATGTCCATGTTGGGGAATTTCTCCTTGAACTTCTTCAATTCAATTAGACTGTATATATATATATATACCTGGACGCAGTCGGCTTATGTCAGTCGATTAGGGTTTCAGTGTGGTTTGCGGGAGGAGGTGGGAGGAAGGAGGAGAGCGGCGGCGGTGGTTTTGGGGAAAGAAAGGAGGTGAGAGGAAGGAGGAAGAAGGGTTGGGTGGGGTTGGGTCATGGGTTGGGTTGGGTTGGTTTTAATGACGTGGCGGGTTATAATGACGTGGCGGGTCGGGTTTTATTTTTGTTGGGTTATATCCGGCTGATTAGGCATTTCTGTTTGCCACATCATCACTTAACGGACTTCATTAACGGAGTTGGACGGAGACTAACGGCGAGTGACTAAATGTGTCCAGTTTTAGTAATTGTAGTGACCAAATTTGATATTAATTTTTTCTAGTGACTAAACATGTCCCGATTTTGTAATCTCAGTGACCAAATGTGTCTTTAACCCCTAAAAAAATAGTAAGAACAACGCTTCAGGAGTATAACTTACATCAAAATCTATGGACAGAAGCAGTTAATACTGCCTGCTATATAACCGGTATGTTTCTATTTGGGATATATCTAAGAATAGCTCCCTACGAGCTTTCGAAGGATAAGAAGCCAAATCTTAGTTACTTTCATCATTTTGAAAGTCACAGATTCATTTTAAATACAAAAGGTTACGTAGGAAAATTTGAGCCCAAATCATAGGATATTTTACCGGAAGTAAAGCTTATATGGTATTGAACTGACAATCCATTCGAAATGAGGAATCCATTCATGTGAAATTTGATGAAAGTGAAAAACAAAATGATGAGGACTCTTTTGCAATACAGTCTCTTCTCACATTGTCTGAATCTACTATATCTACCACACAAAACTTAGAGCCATCACCCCAACCTCTGATATAAAATAAGCACGAGGAAACATAACTTCCTTTTACAACACACCTTCTCACAGTAAGAAAAAGCATCCTCCTTCCTTGATCATATAGGTGATCCTGAACCCAGCTAGTGACTTAATCTAAAGCTAAAAATCTTCTTGCTGTTATTTCAGTCCACCATGCCTTCCTATCTCAAATATAAATTAAAAATATGAAAGAAGCACTCTTAGATGAATATTGGAATCTAGCTATACAAGATAAACTCAACCAATTTGAATGAGCTCAGATTTGTGATCTTGTAGCACGACCTGAAGACTGACCAGTTATTGGATTCAAATGGGAAGTCTGATTACCAATGTGTGTATTGGGAAGTTCGATCACCAATTTCGGAAGGACGTATACCGTTTCAAATGCAATACACGGCCAAAATCAGACTTGGTTGCATAACGTAATATATGTGATTCGTAGGCTGGAGGCCAGCATGCGTATGGATCACGGTAAGCAGGTTCTCCTCATCACAGCAGTATATAACCTGTATTATACGTAACATGGTTTTGAGTCAAAGGAACTCTAGGGGGTGTGCTTGCCTATGCAACGCCTCACCCTCATATTTCCTTCACCGGCCAATAATATTGATTTCTTTTCTCGCGTTGCTATTCTCTTTCTTTTTGTAAAATCAAGAAGAACTTCAATCTCGGGGCACCTTAACCTCCACATTCTCTTTTTAAACCACATAAAACTCGTCTCTCGTGACCTGAGTATGTGGCTATCAGAGGTTAGGAAATATGATCCTAGTCCTCGGACCAGGTAAATTTGCATACACGTACTACACACGATCAATTTGCAATTATTTAATTCTAAAAATATGTTGTCACATATGATTTGGCCAAATTAAATTTATATATTGCTAAGCCAACAATATTTCATTGAAATAATTATCATACACAAAAATTTATTGTATCTTATTGTAAAAAATGTTAGTGTATCTTGATGACTAAAATTAATATTTCATATACCAATTTGATCCAAATAAAGCTTGATCTGAAATAAGGTTTAGTTACAGGTATGACGAAACTAGAAAATTTCATGAACAAACTACAGTACTTCTAGTCTAAAAATCATCGTAAAATAGGCATGGTAAGAAAAGTGAAAGCCTATTGGGTACATGCTCGTATTTTATGATAATAAGCGGCATGTTATCCATAATTAAACTTTTTTGAATAACCTAACTTGAGTTAATAAAATCAACTGATTGTGTACAAAAGCCTATTGTTTAACTTTAACCAACGTAACTATCCATATTCCATACTCAACCGCCCCCAAGTATACAAAAGTCAATCGGTGTTTAGATTGTCAAAATTAAGGTGGATTGGGTGGTAAGCTTCATCCAAACTTATTGATATTTAATTACTAGCTACTAGCTAGACTCTTCAAGGGTGACGTACGTAAACGGTGATTACAAGCAAGATTTTAGTAAACATTAGTCAAAGTGAAATCGTAAGTGATCATCCATGTGAATATATATATATATATATATATATATGTCCACAACCACAAGTGAACAACGCCTTGATAAGTGAACAGATATCCAGGTTGCAGGGAGCATATATATGTCCCATTTGCCAGTTGGTTATACAACGAGTTATATTCATCTCCATCTAATTAAACTCCACGAACTGCGCGCCTGCATATATTAAGCATCCATATTCCGAAATGAACAAAGAGTGAGAGCGATAAACAGAGACGACTCGATTGAACTTAGCAGTCAAGAGACAACTGTTGGCGTTGTTCATTGCACCTCTCCTTATCCATTCCATTAGCCATATTACAAAAAGGTCCTCTCACTCTAACACATATAGATACTATGTGTGGGAAATGAGTTGTATGAATAAGGATGAGTACCGCATTTGCCTGTAATGGGTTGGGAATTGAGATTCTGAAGGAAGGAAGGAAGAGAATGACAAGGAGATAAAAACATACACCATTAGCACTGGAATTCCATTCTCTCGAATTATTATTCTAAGGCGCAAGGACACTTCCCTTTTTGCGCCAACCCTCCTTCTCCACTTTTCATTTTGTATAAGGAAAAAAATGGTCAAGTGTGCTTTCTCTTGGACCCACCACCCACTGTTTATCCCCTGATTATTATATCTATTACCAGCCTCCCCTCACCCTGTGGGTGTGTCTCTCTCATATGCTGATATGCATAAGCATAATTATTATCATCATCAGTTATCTCTCTTCACTGAACCAATTCCAAACACAGAAACAAACAACATCATTCATTAGCCAGCCCTTCAGTTCAGAGGTTAGCCATACGTACCACCTACCTAGCTTTGCTCAAGTGAGAGATTGGTTCAGAGAACCAAAAAGGTTGAGAAAAAGGAGGAAGGAGCTGGGTGCAGGGCCAAAAATAAAAAGGGATGGGGAGGGCACCTTGCTGCGACAAGGCAAACGTGAAGAAAGGGCCATGGTCACCAGAAGAAGACGCCAAGCTCAAGTCCTATATTGACCACAACGGCACCGGCGGCAACTGGATCGCTCTCCCTCAGAAGATCGGTCCGTTATATCTCTCTCTCTCTCTTTCACTAACCTTTCTTTCCCTCTCCAGTAGATGATGAGATTCCTAGCTAGGGTTAGTCAATTTAATTTATACTAGTCTGGTACTGCGTGTGTAGGGCTGAAGAGATGTGGGAAGAGCTGCCGGCTGAGATGGCTAAACTACCTCCGACCAAACATCAAACACGGTGGCTTCTCCGAGGAAGAAGACAACCTCATCTGCAGCCTTTACATCAGCATCGGCAGCAGGTATAGCCTCTACATCTGTAACCTAATCAGTTTGGTTGTTTCATTCATAGCTAGATCGTCAAATTAAAGCACTTTATACTGAATCCTTATTCCCTAAAACCATGGTCGATGTTCTGAGTTGACCTAACAGTATAAGATCTCTCGCTCTTTACAAACAACACTTGAAGACCCTTGTCCCATGTTTTTTTTTTGGTCGTTGTTAGGGAAGAGAAGTTGTAACCACGAATCTGATGTGTAAATTGGTGGTTGTTAATAAATCCAGATGGTCGATAATAGCGGCACAACTGCCGGGGAGGACGGACAACGACATAAAGAACTACTGGAACACCCGGCTGAAGAAGAAGCTGCTGGGCAAGCAGCGCAAAGACCACCACCACCGCCGCCTCAAATCCACCAATACCACCGCTGCACCTCCAAACCACCAACACGACCTAGCCATGAGCTCCCAATTAGCTGCACCTGATTCTTCAGATAATAGTACTACTACTACCACCACCGTTCACGACAGTTTGGTGGTTGACCTCCCACACCATCACTACTGGCCCACGGCAGCCGCAACCGCAGGGCTGCCTCCAATACCCTACTCCAGCGAGGAGCCCCGCCTCAACGACCACGCCTCCATTCGCAAGCTCCTCATCAAGCTCGGCGGCAGATTCTCAAACTGCTCCGCCTCTCACCACCACCAACAACTAATAGTGCCCGAGACCACCACCGCCCCACTATTCGAAGCAGCTTCAGCTTCCGTGGAGGGTTCGGAAGCACTAGGGCGCCACCACTACTGTGACATGGACGGCGGGGTGCTGCTCGAGATGCTGCAAGGGAATACTACTAGTCATCGTGATGATGGTGAAGACGCCGACCACGAAAGGCTAGAGTACGGGCTGGAGTTTCTGTTGTCGGGCTCGGACGGCGAGCAGCAAGGCATCATGTCCAACGGTGAACCGTCCGATCAGTTGGTTTATGATGAACAACACAACAATCATCCCATATTTCAGGGGGATTATCATAATGCTTTTGATGAGCTGAGGCCGTACCCACACCAAGCAGGATCCATGTAACAATTTTATTTACTTTCTTCATTCACTTTTCAGTAATTAAGTTTATTTACAGTTATTATATTCATCATCGATCCTGTTGTGTTTGGGGGGTGTAAATTATTTGAAACTAAATATTGCTATTTGGTGATGGGGGGTTCACTGTTGCTTTTATATCTGAGGGAATGTTAAACCCTAATTAATAAGCTCCGATCCTTCTTGCGGTTTAATTTGGGTAGTTTTATTCCGTGGATGAGCTCTCTATATATTTTCATGATTTAATTACAAGAATCTGATGGACAATTGATCAAATACTGATCCCAAGTAATTCGTTGTAGAACAAAAACTAACGATATGATCATATATATCATATACCTCACCAAATTAATTCTCAATGCTGCCAGAGAGATATCATGTACTTTCATTTTATAAACCCATATTTTCAATAACTAACTTGAGGAGTTTCGAACAATTTCTTTATTTTGAACAATTTATTAATGATATTGCATTATATTGAAGTGTCGTGTTCAAATTCCAACGACCTCTCTAGCAATGAACAAATAAATATTTGATGAGAAATATGGTATGCAGAGTTTAAATCTTTCAATTCATGGAAGAAGAAACCACAGTTCCAACTTCAACACATGCATTTCATTTTAAAATGTGTCATAGGTTGGGTTGCTATAACAACAACTCCTCATATTTATGGAGTAGTTAGAATGAATTCATATCAATGAATCATTTGTATATCCAAATAGCAATATAATTGTACCTAATCAAGTAAGTAACAAATTAATGTGAACAGGAGGACTATTGAGTTTCCTTATGTCTCGAGAAACAAAATGTAACAGTATATGTCCCCTCTCTAAGTACTTTGATTTGGTTTCCAGCGCTCGTGGGGAAACATAAAGCTCATTAACTTTCCCAGAAACTATAGCTACTAGATTGAATATTACTAAACTAGGCGTAACCGCATAAATATGTAGTGATGGCAATGGGTAGGAACCTGTTACATTGAGTAATATTAGTGCTGTTCTCTTGTAGCAATCATTAGGTCTACTCATTTTTACATGTTATTTCAAGAAAAATAAATAAATAATTTAATTCTATGATAAAATAAAGTAAAACACTGCATAAATTAAAAATAAAGTTAAGAAAATGAGTAATTGATTCTAATCAATTAAAAAATGAAGTCTTTTACCTATTTAGAAGTTCCATTAGGACTATTTTAGGAAGAATCAAAACAAAAGAAATACAAATGGATATTGAGCAAAATCAAAATAGAACCATACATGAACATGACGGGACAAATTGGAAGCAGTAACCACACCCCGCTCAAAGCTACTACAGTATGGGTAATAATATAACTTCCACAACGTAGATCAGAGCGAGTAATTTCCGATAGGTTGAGTTCAAGTGTCATCCCTAGAACTATGTAGGAAAGAAATAGGCATGATATAAGTGAATGCAAATTTATAAATTATTAAACAAATTTTTGACGATCTCATCAATTTGCATTGCACGAAAGTTTTGTAAAGTCGGTTATTATTATAACATTAGTTAAATGCGATACTTTTCAGAACTTTCTTAACTTATTATTTTCTAAAATTCTTTTATTACTACCTACTATATTCAACATCTCAACAAATTGCATTATGCAAATAAAAAATTACTTAAGATATGTGAATCTTACATAATATTTTAATCAAATGACTTATCCATAACTTAATTTTATACTTAGACCACACATTACAGTTGATTATGTAACACCATTCTATAATAATTAATACCATACATTACGTAAAACTTATGAAGGTTGAAGAGATAACTTTTTCTTATGTATCAAACAAACAAACGGATTATGCAAGCATTCCAAAATAATTAAGCCACTACTTAACATTTATGAAAGTGTTGTAGTCAAACTATTTTATGAATAATTTTATTTCAACTAAATCATTGATTGAATGGATGAAATTTTGTTACCACAATAAATAATTAGATTATTACCGCCGTGAAGCTTAGATAAAAATATCAGTTAAATATAAAAGGAAAACCCACTTTCAATCCAGATTTGAGGGTCAAGATATGCTTGAAAATGAAAAATATGAAACCCATCTTTGAACTCTTTCAGCAACTCGGTTGATATATTAAAATGAATATACACACATTACCACCAATTATTAACACAATTTCTTCGATCGGTTGGATGGGAAAGGCAAACAAGTAAAGCCATCGACTTAAATTGACTAATCAACGATCGCAGTAGCTTGCCGAGCCACTCGGGCAAGGTAAATAAAAAGCATTATAATTTAATTTCCACAGGCTGACTATAATTACCAGCATATATAGTAAGCGATATAGAGGGTTCTTCTCGACGGAAAAAGGCTATACTTATTTACAGTTGTGAGACCAAAATCACAAATGATGTTTCCCGACATATTTTTGACAATAAAATGTCATATTATGGATGATTAGATGTTCGTTAGATACATGGAGCAATTGTCATGTGGTTGTTAGAGTTAGTTGACAAACTTTGACACACCGCAGCCTGCACATGTTTACATATTCTAGATATATGACGTCTATAAATCAACGGAGGACGTAAAGAATGTGTAGATTTTCTTCAAAATCGTAAGACTATGTACGTTATATTTTTTCTTTTTTCACTTTTGATGAATACATTAGTCAATTCTACTAGCCGGATTTGATGGTGAAAAAAGTCATTTAAGTAAGTGGTTAAGGGATTGACATACTTAATTATTTCTACTTTTCTAGAAGGACCTATGCATGATTTTCCCTCTTTGTCGATGAGTATTGAATTAAGGTTGATTTATGCCTGTGCATGCGAATTTTGAGTCCCTCGTGTATATTTAATTTGTTGTATATTTAGATTACTAGTGATCCCAATAATTAAATACAAATGTGGATGTTGAACTAGAAAAGATAATAATTTATGTTCCAATAGTTAATCTCCACATAAAAATTGGTGAATCATTTATAGATCCCTTCGTATGGTAGACAAATTAGGGTTAGATGTAGAGAGCAAACGATGAAGCATTTAAATCATAGGGGGTGCAGCATATGACCGATAACAATCGTTTGGTTCACTTCTAACCATCCAAACAAACAAATCAAATCGCTATTGCAATCGACTGGCGATTCCAGTACTACTCCGGACAATCAATTTATTTAAGTTATAATAACAAAAGTTATCCGTTCATTTTTATAGAACTTGTACTTATGTTCCTGTACTATCTTATTTTCATAATTTTCATGTGTAGCAATCTTAAAGCTAGCTAGGATCGTCAGCATAAAGGCCTACAAAAATCTGATATCATCATCAGTAAGGTGGAAGACAATTTAATTAACTTGTTTGAGAATTTAAATTTAAATTTTTTTCCAATGAATAGGAAATAGAACTTTGTTGGGTATATATAAAATAACATGCTGTGGCAGATCTTTGGATTTCAGAGCTGATTCTAGGTTTTATAATTATCAATAATTTAATCCAACAAAAAGCATGCTCCATTCCCCAATAATTAATCCAAGAGGGTATGCTTACAAAATAGATATTCTTTGCCAAGCAGAGTTGTTCCAATGCATGCAAGTCAGGAATTTCACAGCTCTGAAAGTTATACGCCACCATGCTTATTAGAAAAAACGAATATATTAGTACAAAAGAATTAGCGAGATCGAGTAAAGTGGCCGGCCACTATCATCAGTTTTGCAGGCAGCAGACCCTAGATACAGTCTAACCCTCCTTTTTTCCGAAGAATAATTGAACGGAATATTCAATGAATTCAGTACCTCGCTTAACATAAAAGCCTGCAGACACTTTTTTGAACGTAAGAAAGTAGCATATATATACTAATTAATTCTACATGTATCTGTGACTGTATGTGTATGGAGTCTGTTTCGTGGACGTATATCGTCGTTTATGGAGACACAGAGAAAAAGCCAGTAAGAAATAGCCAGCTGGTTGTATATATATATATATAGCCGATCGATTGATGGGTACGCAATTTTCTGCTGGCCGGGTGACGATAAGCAAGTTGCTTTCTTGTGCGTGTACAGCAACAGACTCGGACTTAAAGTACTTAGGTTAAACATAGCTAGATAGTCCTTTATTGGCAATCCTATCTAGCTAGCTAGGGCTAGCTCCCCGATACATTTTGGAGGCTGGAGCAGTTCTTCTCGATGAGATTTCTCTTTGGAGATATATATATAGAGGGACTACAAAAATAATCATACATGTATCATGTATGTATCTACCTGAACCCGACTTATATAATTAGGTATGGTAAAATCTGATAGCAAATGATTTAATTGTGTATGCGCCAAATCTGAATCGGAATATTGCGGGTATGTGTATGCATGGTTTTCTCGGTATCTAACCTAAATCTGTCCGAGTGTACACATTCATTAAATTGTGTTGTTTTAATTAATTTTCTTTATTTTCGTAATTTATTTTATATTTTTAATGAACTTGCATGTTTGTTGAATTTATAAATATAAATTATTAACCATTGATACAACCCCAAAGACCAACTCATAAATAGGATAAAGGTTACAGAGGAAGTGTAAAAAAAAAAGTGTTAGAGCATGCAATCTTCTTACCTACACCGATGAGTCTTAACCGCACATCTTACACCTATCTCCAATCACTTTAGAGCATCTTTATGTCATGACTTCCTGAATAGAGTTGAACATTGGCGTGAAACACTAAGCATCTCTAGTCACTAGTAACCCTCCTTCTAAGAAACAAACTGAGGGGAGAGGTTAGAGACTACGATTTGCACGTTTTAGAATTGTGTTGCTTGGGGATAAGCAAAAGCCCAAGTGTGTGGGAATCTGATAACATAGAAATCGGTGTTATTTGAAGATCATCTCATTGAAGAACCAATGTGAAGGGTGCAATATAAGAGGGTAAGATGATTACAAGTTCTTCCTCTTCTTCTAGTTTGTATTTCCTTCATCTTTCTATGACTTAAAACCCTATGGTTGTTTAGGGTAGATGAATTCAA